GGCAGAATTCACATCAAATCACAGCGGAATGCAAAGAACTGTCAATGCCAACGTGCTAACTGGTGCGATGAGAGATTAGTCTCTTTTTTATTAGTGGCCCACACAATTATTGATTGCATGGTAAGGAATTCTGCCCACGCGCTCATTCCAACACGCTTCTGCTGCTTCTCGAAAGCCGGACAGCAGCAGGCTAAATGAGACAAGTGGGGAAATTAAATGAGTTTCATTATACACAAAGAATGGCTGTGCAATTACATTCTTCGGACCGTGTTCTCTCGCCTCCAACACATGTGACTTCCGAAACAGAGAATACCTTTACAAAGTCACCAAACTTGCCTCCATGAATTAGCAAGAATCCAAACATTCTTTTTGAGTGGTTGTGTGTTTTCCGGGCTGTCTGGCCATGTTCCCGAAGCATTCTCTCCTGACATTTCGCCTGCATCTAGGGCAGGCATCCTCAAAGGCTGTGAGGTCTGTTGAAAACTAGGAAAATGGGGTTTATATATCTATGGGATTTATTTTTATTTAGAATCATAGAGTTGGAAGAGACTGCATGCGCCATCAATTCCATTCTGCCAAGAAGCAGGAAAACTGCATTCAAAGCACCCCCTCCAGATGGCCATCCAGCCTCTGTTTCAAAGCCTCCAAAGGAGACTGCACCACACTCTGGGGCAGAGAGTTCCCCTGCTGAACAGCTCTCATAGAATAGAATCCTAGAGTTGGAAGAGACCTCATGGGCCATCCAGTCCAACCCCATTCTGCCAAGAAGCAGGAATATTGCATTCAAAGCACCCCCGACAGATGGCCATCCAGCCTCTGTTTCAACGCCTCCAAAGAAGGAGCCTCCACCACACTCCTGGCAGAGAGTTCCACTGCTGAACAGCTCTCATAGAATAGAATCGTAGAATCCTAGAGTTGGAAGAGACCTCATGGGCCATGCAGTCCTACCCCATTCTGCCAAGAAGCAGGAAAACTGAATTCAAAGCACCCCCGACAGATGACCATCCAACCTGTTTCAAAACCTCCAAAGAAGGAGCCTCCACCACACTCCAGGGCAGAGAGTTCCACTGCTGAACAGCTCTCACAGTATGGAAGTTCTCCCTCATGTTCAGGTGGAATCTCCTTTCTTGTAGTTTGAAGCTATTGCTCCATTGTGTCCTAGTCTCCAGAGCAGCAGTAAACAACCTTGCTCCCTCCTCCCTATGACTTCCCCTCACATATTTATACATGGCGTTCATGTCTCCTCTCAGCCTTCTCTTCTTCAGGCTAAACATGCCCAGCTCTTTAAGCCACTCCTCATAGGGCTTGCACCGAGATTGTGGCGCAGCTGGCTGAGTGTCAGCTGCATTAAGATCACTCTGACCAAAAGGTCATGAGTTCGAAGCCAGCCCGGGTTGGAGTGGGTTTCCAACCAATTGTGTGTAGCCTGTTGTCGACCTTTGCAACCTGAAAGACAGTTGCATCTGTCAAGTAAGAAAATTAGGTACCACCTTAAAGTGTGGGGAGGCTAAATTAACTGATTTATGAGGCCATAAAGAAGACTCCAGCAAAGCATTCTGGAAAATGAAGTAATTAGAAAGTGTTGGTTTCTAATATATGTAATTTCTTTATGTGTGTAGGTAAACACTAGGCTTGGGCAATCCATGGTTCTAAATGGTTCTAAAGTACTTACAAAACTAAAGTTCTGGTGGTGAAAATTTCAGAACTCTAACAAAACTCTCAAAATTTCATAATAAATGGCAGTTCCTAATTGGTTCTGTCATTAAAATCACCAATAATGAAATAATAATTAAATTTTGAAAGTTTTGTTAGAGTGCTGAAATTTTCACCACCAGAACTTTAGTTTTGTAAGTACTTTAGAACCATTTAGAACCATGGATTGCCCAAGCCTAGTAAACACTATTTCTTGCCGTTTCTTTGACAGTGTTGATGTGGAGATTGTCTGGTTTGCCTAGTCTGGGACTGTCCTTCTTTAGGGGTCCCTTTCAAATTTATGATACTATATCTGTGTGTGTGTGAATCATATCTATCTATATCTATGGCTGGATGGTTCTTTGTCAGGAGGGCTTTGATTATGTTTTCATGCCCTGGTGAAGGGAGTTGAACTGGGTGGCCTTAAGTATTTTCTGTTGGTCATGGGGGTTCTGTGTGGGAAGTTTGCCCCGATTCTGTCGTTCGTGGGTTCAGAATGCTCTTTGATTGTAGGTGAACTGTGAATCCCAGTGACTACAACTCCCAAATGTCAAGGTCTATTTCCCCCAAACTCCATCTGTGTTCATATTTGGGCATATTGAGTGCTTGTGCCAAGTTTGGTCCAGATCCATCATTGTTTGAACCCACCAAACCCTTCCAATATTTTCTGTTGGTCATGGGAGTTCTGTGGGCCAAGTTTGGTTCAATTCCATCGTTGATGGAGTTCAGAATGATTGTAGGTGAACTATGAATCCCAGCAACTACAACTCCCAAGTGACAAAATCATAATTTTTTGAGTGATGGTCACTCCTTGTGTTGTGAGACGATTTGTTGCCAAATTTGGTGTGATTTCGTTCATTGGCTCTTTTGTTTTTAAGGTACTCCTTATGCACTGAAACTTTATATATATATATATATATATATATATATATATATATATATATATATACACACACACACACACACACAGTGCAAATCTTGCTATGTGCTTAGCATTAGACTGATGTATAAGCACACCCTGCTGCAGCCTCCACCATTTCACAGATCCTCTGGCAATACTACTCCCAGCCAGAGGCGGCCCTAGGTAATTTTCAATGGTAAGCAAACAGTATTTTGGTGCCCCCCCCCCAACCAATCACTGATATATATTTTCTGTTCATCGTGGGAGTTCTGTGTGTCATATTTGGTTCAATTCCATCATTGGTGGAGTTCAGAATGCTCTTTGATTGTAGGTGAACTATACATCCCAGTAACTACAACTCGCATATGTCAAGGTCTATTTCCCCAGAGGCGGCCCACCTCCCAATTATTTTATTTGTCGTGTCAGAACAACCAGTCAAATTATATTACATTTCTAACAGAAACAAAGCAAACAAGCAGATTACAGAATTTGTGAGTATGAGAGTTGATTAAATGTCCTTTGACCAGTATCTGGCCACTTGGAGTGCCTCTGGTGTTGCTGCAAGAAGGTCCTCCCTTGTGCATGTGGCAGGGCTCAGGGTGCATTGCAGCAGGTGGTCAGTGGTTTGCTCCTCTCCACACTCGCATGTCGAGGATTCCACTTTGTAGCCCCATTTCTGAAGGTTGGCTCTGCATCTCGTGGTGCCAGAGCGCAGTCTGTTCAGTGCCTTCCAGGTCGCCCAGTCCTCTGTGTGCCCAGGGGGGAGTCTCTCATTGGGTATCAGCCATTGGTTGAGGTTCTGGGTTTGGGCCTGCCACTTTTGGACTCTCGCTTGCTGAGGTGTTCCAGTGAGTGTCTCTGTAGATCTTAGAAAACTATTTCTAGATTTAAGTCGTTGACGTGCTGGCTGATACCCAAACAGGGATGAGCTGGAGATGTCTCTGCCTTGGTCCTTTCACTATTGGCTGCTACTTCCCGGCGGATGTCAGGTGGTGCAATACCGGCTAGACAGTGTAATTTTTCCAGTGGTGTAGGGCGCAGGCACCCTGTGATAATGCGGCAAGTGTAGTTACTGGGATGTATAGTTCACCTACAATCAAAGAGCATTCTGAACTCCACCAATGATGGAATTGAACCAAATATGACACACAGAACTCCCACGACGAACAGAATATATATATATAAATATATATATTTTCAATGGTAAGCAAACAACCAATCATTAATATATATATATATATATATTCTGTTCGTCGTGGGAGTTCTGTGTGCCATATTTGGTTCAATTCCATCATTGGTGGAGTTCAGAATGCTCTTTGATTGTAGGTGAACTATACATCCCAGTAACTACACTTTCCGCACTTGCTCCCTTGCCTGGCCCGCTTTGGGTCCGGAGGCGTGCCTGAAGACCCCGGCGTGTGCACCAAAAGTCACCTCTTCTCCTGACTTTCTCCTCAGCCATTGGGACCAAGAGAGAGAGAGAGAGAGACAGAGGTGGAGATGCCCACCTTTCCTGAAGGTAGGTGCAAAAACAAAGGAGGGAGCGGAGGTGGGAGATACCTCCAGCCGGAGGGGCTCCTCTCTCTCTCTCTCTCTCGCTTGGTCCCAATGGCTGAAGAGAAAGTCAGGAGAAGAGGCGACTTTTGGGGTCTTCAGACACGCCTCCAGACCCAAAGTGGGCCAGGCGCGGCGGCTCCGCCCCTTGGCCCACCCGCGGATTGGGGAGAGGAGAGGAGGCGGGTGGAGCACCGGGGGATCGGGAAAGGGAGCCGGTCATGGGGAAGGGATCGAACACGGAGAACGATTGAGCGCCGGCTCTGCTCGCGCACCCGGTGGCCAGGTGGAGCAGGAATGAGAGGGGCTAGGCGAGGCTCAAGGGCCCGGCCCCTTTGGGAAGAGGATCGCCCAGCAACGAGGCAAGAAAGCCGAGGCTCCCCCCAGACTGCTAGGGCTGTTGTGAGCTGAGGGGGCGCTCCTCAAGTGGCGGTCGAGGGGCATTTACAGAGGTGCCTCTGTGCCCCTGGCAAAACAAAGTGTTCTGCGACCGCTTACTTCGCGTAATGGATGAGCCGCCCCTGACTACAGCCAAAGCCCCTTTCATGCTGCATTCTTTCTTCCCGCAGGAATTCCTCTCTCTTTTAATGTAAGGAAGCAATCAATTAAAGAATTTCACATCTTTGAACTTGTAGCAAGACAAAAAATATTGCACTTCACAACTGTACAGCCTTAGAGGGTTTTCATGAAGATGAAGTGGGCAAAAGGAAAAACAGACACGCAAGTCATAAAAATTGGTAACCAAAATTAAGGGAGCTAGGATGCAAAGTGCAAGCAGCAAAGAAAAACAACACAGAAACAATTATCAATGTTTGCAATGTGAGACCCTCATACCCACCACAGACAGACCCACCTCTCTCTGCTCACTGCAGATCTTACAGAACCAGACAGGCCGTTTCTGGGCGTTCAGGGTTTCAATGCCGCATTTGGTGCAAACTTTCTGGGGAAGGGAGGACACAGAGAACAGCAGAGAAATCATTAAGAAGGTTTAAAAGCAAGAGGAAGATCACTAGAAGAGGGAGGCAATGAACAGGCACAGCATTTAAGGATTCTGGGAACTGTTTGTTTGTTTGTTTAAGACATTTATAAGACATTATCTTGTAGTTTGAAGCCATTGTTCCGCGTCCTAGTCTCCAAGGAAGCAGAAAACAAGCTTGCTCCCTCCTCCCTGTGGCTTCCTCTCCCATATTTATACATGGCTATCATATCTCCTCTCAGCCTTCTCTTCTTTAGGCTAAACATGCCCAGCTCCTTAAGCCGCTCCTCATAGGGCTTGTTCTCCAGACCCTTGATCATTTTAGTCGCCCTCCTCTGGACACATTCCAGCTTGTCAATATCTCTCTTGAATTGTGGTGCCCAGAATTGGACACAATATTCCAGGTGTGGTCTAACCAAAGCGGAATAGAAGTGTAGCATGACTTCCCTAGATCTAGACACTATGCTCCTATTGATGCAGGCCAAAATCCCATTGGCTTTTTTTGCCGCCACATCACATTGTTGGCTCATGTTTAACTTGTTGTCCACGAGGACTCCAAGATCTTTTTCACACGTACTGTTCTCGAGCCAGGCATTGTCCCCCATTCTGTATCTTTGCATTTCATTTTCCTGCCAAAGTGGAGTATCTTGCATTTGTCACTGTTGAACTTCATTTTGTTAGTTTTGGCCCATCTCTCTAATCTGTCAAGATCGTTTTGAATCCTGCTCCTGTCTTCTGGAGTATTGGCTATCCCTCCCAATTTGGTGTCGTCTGCAAACTTGATGATCCTGCCTTCTAGCCCTTCATCTAAGTCATTAATAAAGATGTTGAACAGGACCGGGCCCAGGACGGAACCCTGCTTGTGGCACTCCACTTGTCACTTCTTTCCAAGATGAAGAGGAAGCATTGGTGAGCACCCTCTGGGTTCGTTCATTTAGCCAATTACAGATCCATCTCACTGTAGTTTTGCCTAGCCCACATTGGACTAGTTTCCTTGCCAGAAGGTCATGGGAGACCAGTTCAGCATTTAAACAGTTCAGCGTCTCCTGATGCCTTGTTGTTAGCAATGCTTCTTAAGGCCCATTCAACCTCACTCCTCAGGATGTCTGGTTCTAATTCACTCACCACACCATCAAAACATATGCATTAAATGATTTTTTTAAAATGGGGCCAGGTACCGCAAGTTGGATAGCTCTTTTCAAGCTCAGACTGAAACTAAATTCACACCATCTGACCTGGGAACTACCCTGGATGTGAACTATCTCTTTTTCAGCCTCAAAGAAACCTGAACCAATGCACACAGAACTGAGAGATGAGCTAAATGAAGCAGTATTTCAAAGAGGTGGCATTGAGGAGAATGATGAGCGAAGAAACCAGCCAGCCTTCAATAAAGGAGGAAATACATGTACACAAAAATCAATCCTCCTAATGAGAGAACGGTGCTATTCCTCCACGGCAGCGAGAGGAAGAAATTGAGGCATCAGAGTGAACCATGGCTGCCTCAGGTGGCACTAACAGCTATCAATGAACACCGGGGAGGGGACGGTCTGAGCTATTAAAGTCAGCCCCTCTGAAGGAGATGGGAAACTAAACTTTCCCCTATGATTTTTAACATTTACATCAAACAGCTGGGCAAGGTCATGTGGAGTTGGAGTTGGAAGGCCTCTCTACACAGATACACAACTCATAGACTCCTAGAGTTGGATTGGGCCATCCAATCCAACCCCATTCTGCCAAGAAGCAGGAAAATTGCATTCAAAGTACGCCCAACAGATGGCCATTCAGCCTCTGTTTAAAGCCTCCAAAGAAGGAGCCTCCACCACAGTCCGGGGCAGAGAGTTCCACTGCTGAACGGCTCTCACAGTCAGGGAGTTCACCTGGAATATTGTGTCCAATTCTGCTCACGATTCCACCTGCATCGCAAGCGCGTTTGGTGGGGACGAGGGACAGGGCCTTCCCTGTGGTAGCCCCCCGATTCTGGAACTCTCTCCCCAGATGATCAAAGGGATCGTGTGGGTTCATATGTGGAGATGCGGTCACGCAGGTAGGCGGGTCCCAAACCGTTTAGGGCTTTGTAGGTAAGCACCTGCACCTTAAATTGGGCTCGGAATATAAACGGCAGCCAGTGGAGCCCCTTAAACAGGAGGGTTGACCTCTCTCTGTAAGGAGCACCAGTTAACAACCTTGCTGCCGACCGTTGGACAAGTTGGAATTTCCGAGCCGTTTTCAAGGGCAACCCCACGTAGAGCGGGGTAGTCCAATCTGGAGGTGACCAAGGCATGGACCACCCCGGCCAGATCAGCCTTCACGAGGTACGGTCGCAGTTGGCGCACGAGTCTCAGTTGTGCAAAAGCCCTCCCGGACACCGCCGACACCTGAGCCTCAAGCGTAAGTGATTAATCCAAGAGGACCCCCAAACTGCGGACCTGTGACTTCACGGGGAGTGTAACCCCGTCCAGCACAGGTTGCCACCCTATACCCCGATACGGTTTACGATCGGCCAGAAGGACCTCTGTCTTGTTGGGATTAATCTTCAGCTTGTTCATCCTCATCCAGATAGCCACAGCGGCCAGGCACTCGTCCAGCACCTGAGGGGCTTCCTTGGAATTTGGTGGAAAAGAGTAGTAGAGTTGTGTGTCATCTGCATAGAGATGGCACCTAACTCCAAAACTCCGGATGACCTCTCCCAGCGGTTCATGTAGATGTTAAAAAGCATGGGAGACAGAATAGAGCCTTGCGGGACCCCACAGGTCAAAGGCCAGGGGTCCGAGCAGGCGTCTCCCAGCTTCACCATCTGGGATCAACCCTCCAGGAAGGACGGAGCCACGACAGAACCGTGCCCCCGAGACCCATCCCAGAGAGTCGTCCCAGAAGGATACCATGATCGATGGTATCGAAAGCCGCTGAGATGTCCAAGAGAACCAACAGGGTCACACTCCCCCTGTCCAGTTCCCTGCGGAGGTCATCCACCAAGGCGACCAAAGCCGTCTCGGTGCCGTGGTCAGGCCTGAAGCCAGACTGTGACTGGTCCAGGTAATTGATGTAATCTAGAAATCCCTGGAGCTGGGAGGCAACTACCCGCTCCAGCACCTTGCCCAGAAAAGGGAGGTTGGAGATTGGTCTGTAATTGTTCAGCACCGTGGAGTCAAGGGAGACCTTTTTAAGGAGTGGTCGGACCACAGCCTGTTTTAGTCGGGATGGAAAAAACCCCTGCTCCAATGATGCATTAATGATATTTATCGTGTCATCAGCAACCATACCATTGGATTACATTTCTAACAGAACAAAACAAACAGATTAAAAAAAACCCCACAGATTTTGCAAACTTGGTAGTTGGTTAAATGTCCTTTGACCGGTATCTGGCCACTTGGAGTGCCTCTGGTGTTGCTGCAAGAAGGTCCTCCATTGTGCATGTGGCAGGGCTCAGGCTGCATTGCAGCAGGTGGTCAGTGGTTTGTTCTTCTCCGCACTCGCATGCCGAGGATTCCACCCTTAGCCCCATTTCTTAAGATTGGCTCTGCATCTCGTGGTGCCAGAGCGCAGTCTGTTCAGCGCCTTCCAAGTCGCCCAGTCTTCTGTGTGCCCAGGGGGGAGTCTCTCATCTGGTATCACCCATGGATTGAGGTGCTGGGTTTGGGCCTGCCATTTTTGGACTCTCGCTTGCTGGGGTGTTCCAGCGAGTGTCTCTGTAGATCTAAGGAAACTATGTCTTGATTTAAGTCGTTGACGTGCTGGCTGATACCCAAACAGGGGATGAGCTGGAGATGTCTCTGCCTTGGTCCTTTCACTATTGGCTGCTACTTCCCGGCGGATGTCAGGTGGTGCAATACCGGCTAAGCAGTGTAATTTCTCCAGTGGTGTAGGGCGCAGACACCTCATGATAATGCGGCATGTCTCATTAAGAGCCACATCTACTGTTTTAGTGTGGTGAGATGTGTTCCACACTGGGCATGCATACTCAGCAGCAGAGTAGCATAGCGCAAGGGCAGATGTCTTCACTGTATCTGGTTGTGATCCCCAGGTTGTGCCAGTCAGCTTTCGTATGATATTGTTTCTGGCACCCACTTTTTGCTTGATGTTCAGGCAGTGCTTCTTGTAGGTCAGAGCACGGTCCAGAGTGACTCCCAGGTATTTGGGTGTGCTGCAATGCTCCAGTGGGATTCCTTCCCAGGTAATCCTCAGAGCTCGGGATGCTTGTCTGTTCTTTAGGTGAAAGGTGCATGTCTGTGTTTTAGATGGATTAGGGATCAGTTGGTTTTCCCTGTAATAGGCAGTAAGAGCATCTAGAGCTTTGGAGAGCTTCTGTTCTACCATCTCAGAGCTCCCTGCTTGAGTGGTAATGGCACGATCATCAGCATAGATGAAACTCTCTGTCCCTTCTGGCACTGGCTGGTCATTTGTGTAGATGTTGAACATGGATGGAGCAAGCACGCTCCCCTGAGGCAGGCCGTTCTTCTGTTTCCGCCATCTGCTTCTCTGGCCCTGGAACTCAACAAAGAAGCTCCTGTTTTGTAGCAGGTTTCCTATGAGGCGGGTGAGGTGGTCGTCCTTTGTGATATTATACATTTTTCTCAGGAGGAGGCGGTGGTTCACAGTATCATAGGCTGCTGACAGGTCTATGAAGACAGCTCCGGTGATCTGCTGCCTTTCAAAGCCATCTTCTATGTGCTGAGTCAGGTTCAACACTTGCGATGTGCAGCTTTTGCCTTTCCTGAAGCCAGCTTGCTGTGGGATCAGACAGGGGTCTATATTTTCCATAATTCTATGCAAAATAAGTCTCTCTTATTCTCTGTGTTGAGAATGCATTCATGATCAACACAAACCAATCAGTCAACCCATCCCTGGCCTTTCTCCCTTTTGGTTCTTGTATTTCGGACTCTGCATTCCAATATCCCCCAGTTCCCAGGGACTGACAATGCCATTTCTGGGTATTCATTGTCTAAGAAAGTCCCTATGAGATTCATGGACTTGCCTTAAATCCACAGGTGACTGATATACAAACTAAGTCCATTCCTGCCCCCTCGTGGACACTTTGAATCAATTCATGTACCTTTCAGAAGGTGAAGATACAGAAAACAGCAATATCACGGAAGAGAGTCAACATTTTCTTTTGACTGAGTGGGCAGAAGAAAAAGGCATTTGCAGGGACAACACGGCCTGAAAATGGCGGTAATCAACAAGAGGAGGGGGAAAATCCCCCTCAGGTCCTCTGCTAATTTTTCAATTTCAAAACAAGAGCCACCCTAATTACTACTGACAGATTTATCCAAAGCCTGATTAATCATATCTGCTTTGACATAAGCACTGCCATTTGTTATATTTGCAGTGTGTTGTCTTAAAAGATGTGGAGAAAAGGCTGGTGAGAAAGAGAGGAAGAGAGGATCTATACCAGGGGTCCTCAAACTTTTTAAACCGGGGGTCTGTTCACTGTCCCTCAGACCGTTGGACGGCCGGACTATAGTTTTTTTAAAAAAAATCAATTAAAAAATTCCTATGCACATTGCACATATCTTATTTTGCTGTGTGGAAGGGCCCTTAGAGGGGGTTCTTTCTAGTCCTCTTTAGGCAGTAATTCCAGGAGCAGAGAATGGGAAATCTTCCTATTTCTAGTCTGAACAAAATCTGGCTACCAGTATTTAAAAAACTCTAAAATTATAACTGTAAATAAAGAACAACACTCAAACACAGGGGAACTCCAGACAAGAAACAATCAGGGCCAGCTAATCACCTCTCAACAAAGGATTCTCCCTAAAAACTGTCAGGCTATGAAATGGTAATCAAGGTGGCCAATTGAAACATTCATACCTACCTCCAACAGACAAGAGTTCTTTCTCCCACCCTGGATCTTCCACAATTTTCCTAGTTAAAGGTTTTCCTCTGACATGAAGTCCAGTCGTGTCTGACTCTGGGGTGTTGTGCTCATCTGCATTTCTAAGTCGAAGAGCCGGCGTTGTCCGTAGACACCTCCAAGGTCATGTGGCCGGCATGACTGCATGGAGCGCCGGGGCAGCCTCCCTTGGCTGGCTCACGCTGTCCATCGGGCCTGACGGATAGCGTGAGCCTGCCAAGGGAGGAGCAGCCCCGTGCGGCCTACTTGCGAGTAAAGCACCTTGCGAGGGGTAAAAGTAAACCAAATAAATAAATAAATTGGCTGGCTCACGCTGCCCATCGGGCCCGATGGGCAGCATGAGCCTGCCAAGGGAGGAGCAGCACCGCGTGGCCTACACTCGTGTAAAGCACCTCGCGAGGTGCTTTACGTGCGAGTAGGCCATGCGGAGCAGCTGCCCTTGGCTGGCTCACGCTGCCCATCGGGCCTGATGGATAGCGTGAGCCTGCCAAGGGAGGAGCAGCCCCACACGGCCTACTTGCACGTAAAGCACCTCACAAGGTGCTTTACGCATGAGTAGGCCACGCGGAGCAGCTGCCCTTGGCTGGCTCATGCTGCCCATTGGGCCTGATAGTGTGAGCCTGCCAAGGGAGGAGCAGCCCCGCATGGCCTACTCTCGTGTAAAGCACCTCGGGCCTGACGGATAGCGTGAGCCAGCCAAGGGAGGGGCACTGTGTGTGGGGGGGGCGCTCCTCCTCCGCGGGCCGGATAAATGCCCTTGGCGGGTCAGAAGTGGCCCACGGGCCGTAGTTTGAGGACCCTTGATCTATACCTTGCAGACTCTATTTTATTTATTTATTTATTTATTTACGACATTTATATGCCACCCTTCTCAACCCGAAGGGGACTAACTGTGGCTTACAAGTAATATCTAATACAATATATTACGAGGGTTGAATGAAAAGTAATGCCTCCACCTTCGTAACTCCTCAACAGATAGCAGTACTGGGATGCGGCAGGTACTGGCTTGTTCAGTAGACTCTCCTCTACAGTTCCATTTTGGCGGGAAGCCTTAGCATTGAACAGTTGTGTTGTTCAAGTGTGAAGTATAAAACCCTGCGCAGATGTTCGGTCAGTGCGACTTAAGCAACGTGCAGTCACTGAATTCTTGACAGCAGAAGGTGTCACCCCAAAGGAGATTCATCAGAGAATGCAAGCTGTTTATGGTGATTGTGTTGATATGAGTGCTATGCATCATTGGGCGAGTAAGTTTAGAGATGTTGAGGTGGGAACATCTGACTTGCATGACAAACAAAGAGCTGGACGTCCTGTGACAGCAACCACCGGGTTTCACAAGCAAAAGGTTTACAAGGAACATGAAAGGCACTGCAGACTACTTCAACCAAAGAGGTCAGCCATAGCAGAACACCTGATGAACCAACCTGGGCACAGCATATCATTTGAGAACACAGAAATGTTTTGGTTTTTTTTGTCGTGTCAGGAGTGACTGCAAGGCGCTCCTGGTGTGAGAGAATTGGCCATCTGCAAGGATGTTGCCCAGGGGACGCCTGGATGATTTAATGTTTTTATCATCCTTGTGGGAGGCTTCTCTCATGTCCCCGCATGAGGAGCTGGAGCTGATAGAGGGAGCTCATTCGCCTCTCCCCAGATTCGAACCTGCGACCTGTTGGCCTTCAGTCCTGCTGGCACAGGGGTTTAACCCACTGTGCCACCGGGGGCTCACAGAAATGCTGGACCACTCGAACAATCACCATGTCAGGATACACATAGAAGCCATTGAAATCCATAAGCACGTGGACAATTTCAACAGAAAGGAGGAAACCATGAAAATGAACAAAATCTGGCTACCAGTATTAAAATTACAACAGCAAAACAATCAGGGACATCTAATCACCTCTCAACAAAAGATTCCCCCCGGCACTAACAAGCCACACCAAACAACTTCCAGGCCATCAAATGCTAATCGAGGTGGTCAGTTGAAACATTCACGCCTAGCTTCAACAGACAAGAGTTCTTTGTCCCACCCTGGTCATTCCTTAGATATATAAACCCAATTTTCCTCGTTCCAACAGACCTCACTACCTCTGAGGATGCTTGCCATAGATGCAGGCGAAACATCAGGAGACAATGCCTCTAGAACATGGCCATATAGCCTGAAAAAACCTACAACAACCAAGTTGACAGATTGATTCAGGACGATCGTCGTATCACTCAGAGAGAAATTTCAAGCATAATCGGCATTTCACAAGAACGTGTGTGTCACATTATTGCTTGGCTTGGCTATTGGAAGATCTGTGCACGATGGGTACCCAGGATGAGAGAACTGTGAGACGCTGGTTGCGGAAGTAGAGTGTCAACTTCTTCCGTGACGGCTTTAGCAAATTTGTTCATCATTGGCAGAAATGTATCCAATTGTCCGGGTGATTATGTGGGAAAGTGAATCATGGTAGTTAAAGAGCACATTCTAAGGATTATATCTGCATTTGATTTCTTAAAATATTCCCATTCAAACCCAAGTAACGAAGGTGGAGGCATTACTTTTCATTCAACCCTCGAATATTATTACCATAATGCAATATTAGTATTATATATTACTATATTGTACTATACCATTATACTGTAATATTATTAGTAATATTACATGTAAAATATATAATTATAATATCATATTACTATTATTATATTGTATTACATTATATTATCAATATAATATGTATATACAATATATTATATTATTAGCATATATAATAAATAATATTATATATTATTTATTATATATATATATTAAAATAATATGATTATATTAAAATAATATAGTATATTGTTTATTATATATATATTAAAATAATATGATTCGATTAAAATAATATAGTATATTGTATTGTCGAAGGCTTTCATGGCTGGAATCACTAGGTTCTTGTGGGTTTTTTCGGGCTATAGAGCCATGTTCTAGAGGCATTTCTCCTGACGTTTCGCCTGCATCTATGGTATATTATTTTAATATAATAAATTACATTAAAATAATATATGATTTTTAAAGCAAGGGTTTTTCTTCCCAATGTGTTGTAGAAGGTTTCATGGCTGGAATCACTGGGTTGCTGTGAGTTTTCCTGGCTGTCTGGGAAGCATTCTCTCCTGACGTTTCGCCCGCATCTATGGCAGGCATCCTCAGAGGTTGGGAGGTCTGTTGGAAAGTAGGCAAGTGAGATTTATATATCTGTGGAATGATGTCCAGGGCAGGAGAAAGAACTCTTTGTCTGCTTGAGGCAAGTGTAAATATTGCCAATGGCCACCTCAATTACCATTGAATGACCTTGCAGCCTCAAAGACTGGCTGATTGCTGCATGGGGGAATCCTTTGTTCAGAGGTGTTAACTGACCCTGATTGTTTCATATCCATGTTCCAGAAGCATTCTTTCCTGACATTTCACCCACATCTATGGCAGGCATCCTCAGAGGTTGTGTGGTTTGTTGGAAAGTAGGAAAAAATGGGATTATATTTCTCTGGAATAATGTCCAGGGTGGAAGAAAGAACTCTTGTCTGCTTGCAGCCAGGCTTTGGAGCTGTAGGGCCATTCAATGCTAATCAAGGAGGCCAATGGCAACATTCACACTTGCCTCCAACAGACAAGCTTCCAAACTATCTTCAAAGGCAGCCCCACGTAGAGAGCATTGCAGCAGTCCAAACAGGATGTGACTAAGATCAGACTTAGTTTGCTCTAGGGCACATATATTTGTCTTTGGACCAATGCTCCTGGTCCAAAAGGGTCTCACCTTTTTGCAGTCTTGGCAAAAGACTGCCGTGCTCCCCAGCAGACCCAGGGCCTCTCCGCAGAGCAAGCATTGGGACAATCCGTTGCCCATCACATTCTTCTGCATGTTCTCCAGCCGCTCCACGAGGCGCCTGCAAGTCAAAACATGTGCGTAAAGCCAGGAGCCTAAAGCAGTGACTTATGGTCACAAGGTTGAGTGGCTCTGATGCCATTACTAAGCTTCATGGATGCCTCAAAGCATTTCGCTGCCAGGTTCAAAGGACAAGATACTGTGCCTCTATTTCCTTTTTTAAAAATTATTTATTATTTAGTGTATTTATATTCTGCCATTCCATGTTCAACATCTACACAAATGACCAGCCATTGCCAGTAGGGACAGAGAGTTTCATCTGTGCTGATGATCGTGCCATTACTGCTCAAGCAGGGAGCTTTGAGATGGCAGAACAGAAGCTTTCCGAAGCTCT